ATATTTACAATAGTAAAGTAAAGCTAATTAGGCAATAATATAATTTATTAATAGTATGATTAATAAATTTAATACAGATTTCATCGAAATTTGACTCATATTAGGTTAATTTTATGTATTTAATGCCCGTGATTACATATTTATAGGGGTAAAGTAAAATTAATTAGGTAATAATATAGTTTTTAATATTGTGATTAAGGTTCATTAGCTAGTAATATATTTTTAAATATTATAATTAATAATTTTAATATTGATTTCATCAAATTTTGGTTCGTTAGTTTTATGTATTTAATGTCTATTAGCATGATTGACAGGTTTTTAGTTATAAAGTATGATTTATTATATATAATCACATCTTGTTATTTCAAATTTGATAATAATTATGATTAATCATAGTTTATTAATTTGATAAATATTTGTAGGAACATAATAGCAAAGAAACATACCTATAATAAGGCCTAGGATCATCTCCGATAATTGTCATCATCAACAGTGCATCCATTATGACTACATCAATAGAGGTAGACAAAACACTTTACTAAAATTATATTTGATTAATGTGTTATCTCGATATTATAAAATATTAAAAAAAATAATGGAGATTCGTAAACTATTTCAATTAACCTACAACAAATGTAATTCAAAAGAATACCAATGAATAAGAATAATATAGACAAACTACACAATAACCCTTTTACGATGAATAAAAATGTTGTGACAATAATATCAACTCAGATTGTAATACTTGTATTCGTACTTACTATAGCATCAGCACATATACGAGGAAGCAATAAAACATCAATAATTTGACTCAAAATGGAAACACAATCATGACAAAGGGTAAATGAGTGTTAGCATTAAGGCAACCGATTATCATCATTCATCCGCAAATCAATAGTATTGGTAGCATGAGGCAAGATAAATTTTAAGCTTTTACAAGAGGATTTGATAGGATGTGAGCATCTTATATTATTAATATTAATCAATAGGTCTATCCCTATAAATTATAAAACAAATAATAATTGATGATGCATGTACAAAAAAAAATCCAAAAGACTAATACGATGATCCAACCTTCTAACCAAGATAGATATATAATGTTTATTTAGATAATGAAGTAACAAAACTGAAGGATTCGATTAAATCTTTCAAGATGCAATGAGATGACTATGAGATAATATTGACATGTAACATTTGGATTGGATCCATAGCATCATCAATTTTTTTATGTATTACTATAGAAGGATTTCATAAGTTGGTTAATATTTTCAATTAAATTAAAGATACATACTACATTCAGAATCTAATATATACTATAGTAAAGAAGATTACACATTACATTGTCTAGATTACGATTGATAATGGAATTAATTTTTAGGATGCTAATTTGTAATTGATTGGGCAAAGAGAAACACTATTTTAGACTCTATGTGTAATTTGCAATTTGCAATTGCATGCATCCTATATAATAAAGGATATTAATGAGTTATTATCAGGACAAAAATGTATAGCAAGAATACACTTGATGACAAAATTTATATATAATTGGTATACTCTTTGACATAAAAATATATAAATGATAAGATACTCTAACTTGATAACACATAGTTTATTACAAATTATATTACATTAAAGCCAATCCTACAAAAGAGGCACCGCCTCAATAAATTGGTAACATCATAAGAATTATCAGATTCACGATATTCAAAATCAAGTGATAAAAAAAAGATGATAAAAACTATTTCTTCTGGATTTTGGGAGGTTGTAAATGAAATTATAATAATAGTAGAATCACTTTATGTTGTCATCTATAATATTGATATAGAGAAACATTTGCAGAAGTCTCGTTATAGACCTATATTGCTTGCAACATGAGAGAAGGTTAAGAAAATATTATTGGATGATTTTAAGGTTGATCAATGTATACTAATTATCATTCATATGACTGAAGCTTATATGTACTAAGACTTCATAATATATTTATAGTCATTTATAATATAAATAATAAATATTTAAAATTTATTATTGATGAAATCGGAGTGTATTACTTACATTCCATCATTTAGTTTCACAATGGTCTCGGGACCTATTAGATTTATTATTAGTACTAAGGAATATTATATACCAACTATTATAACAATGTGCTAATGGAATATAGGCTATTATAAAGGATAATTATCTTGAAAAAATGGCAGTTCATTTTTTTTGACAATGTAGCTATATTATGTCATCACATACTCATCTTCAATTATAAATTGAAATTGGCATTAATTATCTGTTATACTAATAAAGTATTATTCATTAATTCAATATTAGGATTATACTATAGATGTAATATTTATTTATGCTTACTACCTAAAATTTAAATTATAAAACTCAAAAAAATAGTCAACATGTTTAGAAAGATAGTACATGAAAAAACTTATACAATATAGATATAAAGCGGAGTTCAACATATTTACAGTGATATATTTTGAAGGATCTTATAGCTAATATAATATAATAATAGTTAATTATTCTTTTATGAGATTGATTGATTTTATGATATGAAATATTAGGTCAATGGTGAAAAAGAAGTTACAATGTTCTCCAACCTCTACACTGATAAATATCACAATCACACTTGATTTAGGAGTAACTTCAAACGCATATGGTTCATGATGATTAGATTACAACCATCACTTTATTGATATACAAATAGTATACAATTTATTAGTATATTATATCATGAGAATAATTTTAAGATTGGATTAGATAAATATATCACATTAATATATAAATACATAGGATTGATAACACTTATTTGAAACCCTATCATTTATTTTGATGATAGAACTAAGTATATTATTGACATATTTATTTATTAATTGGTTTATTTTAATCTTAAAGGTTCATCTCATAATTTAATAATTGAAGTCATATATTTATAGATTACTCAGAACAGTTTGAAACGTGCTTTCTACTCATCGAAGGCCAAAAAAATAAGTATCATGATAATTTAGATAAGTTTTATAAAATTAAATTAAACTTGCATTTAGTTTCAAATAAAAAACCTTAATATATATATATATTTCCTAATTGTTATATAACTTTAGGGTTTTTCTAAAAATTTTTAGTATTATCAATATACTCTATCATATCGATAGTTATCAATATAACATAGACAATACATCAATAAAGAAGTGGAACCTTAGTTATAATATTGGTTAAATTATTAACTATTCAATTATCCTTTATGACATATAAAATCACTTATAAAATTAACAAAATAATAAATATTTTAATAAAAATAGTATCAAAAACACAAAGAACATATATTCACAAAGTGCTTAATATTCATTTTGATTAAAACATTGTAATAATGAATCTTTCTTTAAAGACAACCTTAGTCAAATATTCGGTCCCAATAATTTTTTTAATGTAACATATGTTACATCGTATAGTGGTGATATTTCCCATAACATATTTGAAAGTGTGTCTAAACCCTACAAATTCAAAGTTAGTAAAAACAAAAAATTTATCGGAAAAAGGCATGATCATTGAGAGAGGAATGACATGATATATTTCAAGACTCCTCGGATCGATAGAGATTATTTTATTATTCATAAACTTTGTGCTTGGTGGTTATAAGAATGATAAAGAGATCGCAAAGAAAAGTCCCAATTCATAGATTTTATTAACATTAAATAAAATCTCGTGAATCATTTCTATTGTTAAGGTCAATATTGTTAATCAAGAGCTAATAGATCATGAATTCTGGATTCTCCAAAATGTTTGAATAAGGTCCAAATAGGACAAGGTAAAACAATAATTGAAATATATACATTCAATTAAGTATGAATCGATATGATAAATATGTCATGAATTAAAATGATAGTAATGCACAAATCAATTGGTAAGAAAATATTCTGATTAGTGGGAGAATATTGAGGTTGTGGAAGAATTTTGTTCTACCCATTCAGCTTATTTTTGGGAGTTTTTTTCTAATGATTATAATATAATACTTTTGAATTATTTATTATCTCGATAGTCTTGACTCTTTTATAAACACTATAGCATTAGACTGATGCATTACCATTATAATGTTTATTCTATAATGTTCAAAGTAACCTTTAGCATTGCATAAATTTTCACCCAACTAAGCTTATCCTAAATCCCATGAAAATGATATTCAAATCCAATTTAATTGTATTAGACTAAATATGTAAAGAAATAAGTACCATCAATATTACAACATAAGCATTGGTATACAACAATTAATAATTTATTTTCTCCGAATGCCTAAGATAATCAAGTTTAGTTTGATTTAATCTAGACTCAATCTATGAGTTAGTTGATTAGCCAGGAGATTTGATGTCACCTATGATGAGCACTTAATGTAATATCAAGTGTTTCTCTCGTACAAATATATTAGGAAATCTTACTTTGATTTCTATTTATTTATGTATCTCTTGGGCTCTCGACATATTTAACCTAAATTAAACAAGCTTAATTTTTTTATTATTCAAATTTAGATAAATTTATAAATATTCGATATAAACAATATATTGCTTATCTACAATGTCATAGGTTATGATCCGAAAGTGATGTTAAATTGATTCAACAAAATTCCCTAGACATTGAGATTAATAAATATAAATATATATTAGATAGTAAGTTTTCTTATAATATTATATTCATTAAAATTCATATTCAAGAGATAATTTAAATAAAGCATACAAAACAAAACCTAAAATGTTAAGATAATGTCTCTAACGTCACAACGAAAGCTATTTTAAATGCAGAGATACCCAATGCTGTCACTCATCTCTCAATGTCGACCTTTTAAGCCCACATGTGAGGTGCCAACTCACACATACTTCTGATAGAAGATTAAACCTTGGAAACACGCCTGACCAAATATACATCTAAGACAGAAAGGTAGATCAAGGAAGAAGAGCATCCGTAGCTTTAAGATTCGCGCGGAGATTCGACTTGCGCCGTTGAGACCCAGACGGTTAGCCTCCATTATTTATTTATTTATTTATTTTACTTCCCGCCCATATTTTCCAACATTAGCGCAATATACTTCCTATTTTTCTTCCTCTATAATTATAGCGTCAGTTAGACCTCGAGCGATTCTTCTCGGGACGGGTCGTGCCGTACACCGGAAGCTCGTCCCTGTAACCACCCCCTTCCATCACCATCAAGTTTTCCAACTCAAACAGATCGTCCTGTTCCTCTTCTCCCTCCTCCGCCAACGTTCGCAAGAGCTCTTCCACCCTCATCTTCACCCCTCTCGCCTCCACCACCGCGTGATCCCCGCCGCACGCGCTTTTCTTCGTCTGCCCGCATCGCCGCGGATCCTCCCCATCGGCGCGGAACCTCACTGACCTGTTCCCGCCCTCCGCTGGATCCCTCGTCGATGGCGCCTTGCTAAGGCAAGGTCGCGCCCGCGACGAGACGGCCGAGCAGGCGGAGTCCGCGCCGGAGGGTGATGGCTTCGGTTTCGCCCGGTCCCCCGCCGCCGCGGTGCAGAGTGAGTTGAGGAACCCCGCGAGGAGGGCCCCTGGCGACCCTGGCGCCTTATATTTCTTCAGACCTCGTAGCTTTGTCCGAGTCGAGCCCGATCTCTCCTTGTCCTGCTGGCGGTGCTGGTCGGGTGGCGGCGACCGGCTCGGTCGGAGTCTGAGTGGGAGGGTGGCGGGGGACTCACGCCCGGAGGACGAGGAGAAGAAGCCGCTCGAAGTGGAGTTGCAGGATGAGCTGGAAGTGGAGAACGGGGGGAAGTCTGGACGCCGGGGTCGGGTCACGGTCGCCGTGGGCCTCCGCTCCATGGAGGCGAGGGGAACCAGGAAGTCGGATGCTCCGTGAGCGAGGCGATTCGCCATTTCCTCGCTCTTGGGGGCGATGGGGTCGTCCATGGAGCGCTCGATGGCGTCGAGGAGGGACGACGAGAAGGAGCGGTGCCCGTGACGGAGCCGCCATGCCTCGTTCCCCATTATAATGATCAAAATCTCGAATATTAATACAGGTCTTTTATTTGTATCCCCGCTAATTTATCTTCATAGGATCGAATAATATATATCTTTTTCTAACAGAAGGGAAGAAGAAGAGGAAGGCGAAGGGCGTGAACGACGGAGAACGAGGCGGTGAGGAGGTCGCTCGCCTTCTCCTCTCCTTAATAAAGGCTTCACGCCCGAGGTCGTAGCTGACGTGGCGATTCATCATTCCTCTACGTGTACGGGACCCTAGTCGTTGATCTCGGGTTCTCGCTCGACTTGGATCCCCTTCACCTCCGCTGCGGTTACCAACAACGCAGGTATGCAATTCTCCTGTTTGAATGAAACCCGAATCCATTAGTCTTGTTGGGGTTCTCGTCGTCATCATCTGCGTCAGTAGCTGTATCGAGCCCGGTCTTACATTATAGAATGGGCCGGATACGGGTTAACGGGTTCACTAATCATGTTATGATCCAATAGAATAGTGGGTCGAGGAATTTGTAGCCCAGGTGGAGAGCAATGAGGGAGACACGGAACGGGCAAAGAAGGATTCCAAGGATGGAAAGGCGTGTAGGTGGTTCTTTGAGTAATAAAGGGTAGCTTCAATCTTCTTCATCATTATTGTCGGGAGAACTTCTCTAAGAATGCTAAAGCTAGTGCATCTACTGCGACCCTCGCCAAAATCCTGTTATCCCATCGACACCTTACAATCATAACACAACGGGTTGAGGGTGAAGACTGCAAATGCGAGCTTCGTCATATTCACCTGTCACCATGATGCGCGCGAGAGGTGCACATCTTCTCTGTTATCCATGTGAAGCTTTCTGTCGACTGGATGAGGATAGAACATCTAGTTTCTGCGATTAAACTAAGAGATCAGGAAAACAGGTAGATGTGCCATTGCGTTGGATGTTTGAGGATTATGATTAATATGGAAAAATATGAGCGTCACTACTTTATTATGGTATGTGTTGTCAACTTTATGGTAGTCACTTTTTGTCTTGCTCATATGAGTATGGCTGTTAGGGTTGCTGCTGTAATAGGCTTTAGAAGAGTTCTGCTTTATGTGGTATGACTAGCTTTCTGCATCTACTTTTGTTTCTTTGTTTTGAAAAATCCGTTTAGTAGCTTCGCTTCATAAGAGTTGCTTATGACTGTTATGTATGTATTCATGTCTTGTTGAATTTTAGATTCAGTGGGTAGCATCTGCAGTTAATTAGTTCAGGGGAGCACCCATGGGAAACCAAAAGGTAAGTTGCCCTTTGGTCAATAGAATTATTGAAGGAAATCACTAATCTATGCCCTCGTGGACTAGGCTTTTCAAAAGTAGGGTAGTCTTTTGGAGTCTTTTAACTAGAGCAGGAGGAGATTCTGAAGCCTAGGAAGCATGCTGTCTAGGCAGATAAAAGTATACGGGAATTTGTCTAGTTAACATAGAAAATAGATTCGTAAACAAGAAGCAAATACATAATTATTGGTCAAATCTACATGATTAATTAACATTCTATTTTATATAACAATAACAACAAAATTGTTAGTCCCAAATATTTGGGATCGGCTAAATAGATTTTTTACCATTGTTGATGTATGTAAAAAGTTATATGTTTAGTTATTTAAAATACTTAAATATTTATTTATAATTTTTATAAAAGTTTTTCTAGGTCTTCCTCTCCCTCTCATTCTATCACTAACATTAAATCTTAATTAAGTTTAGAGTATTTAAATCTTAATTATTTTACCTCTTTTGACTATCGCATTCCTCTCCTCAGTACATATTCCTATCATCTTAAATGAATTTCTCTTATCTTAAGTGATATGTAATTGTTCACGAATAAAAGTATTTCTTTTTCTATTATCTATTTTTAGAATTACTAAGATTATATTTTATAAATTCAGTTTTAATCTATCGATAATATCGCCTCCTTAGGTCAAGTATATAATTAATTTTACTTAAGCTTTCATTAACTAAGATAATATTATCAACAAATAACATATACTGATGATGTCTATTATGTAAGTGATTAGTAAGTTCATCTATTATCAATATAAAAAGGTAGAAACTTAATAATGATTAGTGTAATCCTATATTAATAGGAACTCACTAGATACACTCTTACAATTTTAGCTACATTATCATGTATATCTTTAATAACATCAATATAATTAATGGATACATATTTCTTTTTCAAAATCCATCATAATAAATCTTTAGGAACCTAGGCTTTTCTAAGTCAATAAAAAAATATAAAAATCTTTTTTTATTTTTTCTCTATATTTTTTCATTAATTATCTTAATAAATAAATAGCTTCCATGGTCGATCTTTCAAGTATAAAATCAAATTGATTTTCATAAATATTTGTTTCAAGCTTTATTTTATTTTTAATAATTCTTTCTCAAAGTTTCATAATATGGCTTATGATTTTAATTCCTTTATAATTTGAACAAATTTATATGTCACTCTTATTTTTATAAATTAACACTAAAAAAATATTAAGATCCTTTTATTTGTTGAGCTTTAAATAATATTTTATTATGTTTACTTAGTTCAATCGCCCTTAACCGCGCCTCATCCCACCTTCCGCCGTAGTCATCCTCAACCGCGCCTTCGTCGGAGATGGCGTTGCTAGTGTCCCGTTTTGCTGCAGTCGCGAGATCGCTTTCCAGCACTCAGTAGTTGTTGTTTCTTGCTGCTCCTAACCCTCGGCGTTCTCGTCCCTCAGTTGCACCTCATCCTGTCGCGATCGACCTCAACCGCGCGTCATCTCACCTTCCGCCACAGTCGTCCTCAATTGCACCTTCGCCGGAGACGACGTTGCCAGCATCCCATCCCACCACAGTTGCGCGATCGCCTCCCAGCCCTCGGTAGTCACCGTAGCCTCAGCCCTTGGCCACTCGTGATCACTCGGTGTCCCAATCGAGCCCTTCTTCGCTCGGCGTTCGTTGTTAACCAATCGCGCGATCCCCATGACTTCCTAGTCGAGCCCTTCCTCACTTGGCACACTACAGCACAAAGGCTACAGTTTTCGCATGGACCCTCGGTGCTCCCACAACCTTCTTCTTCCCCGTTGGCCAGCGTACCACCCCTTGTTGCCCTAAGCTAGGATCGCCAGCGCCCATCCCAACTGTGTGGTAGCCAGCGTCCCGTCCCGTCGCAGTCGCACGATCGCCTCCTAATGATCGCAGCGCGCCATCGACAGTGCTACTCCCAACCGCACCACCATCACTCTATTGCTGCCTCCTAGCCCTCAGCAGCAACGATCCCTCCACACAACTATCATAGCGAGGATCGCTGCCTTCTAGCCCTCGGCAGCAACGACCCTCCATGTAGCGATCACGGTGAGCCCTTGACGATGTAGGTCCCAATTGCACCACCATTGTGGCCTCACAATCTCTCGGCTCCTAGGGCTTCATCAGAATCCTCGCAGTAACCCTTCACTCCCACTACGCTGCCATCGACTAGCGTCATAGTAGGAGCACAGAACAAGGTAGTGCTAATGCCCTTGACCCGACACCAAAAACAAGAGTTAGGGATTACAGATTTGTAGTCTTACGCAATGGCTACCGATAACTCAGTAAAAGCTCAACTAGAAGCCTTGGAAACTAGGATTGAGAATTGACTATAGGAAACTCTTAATGATTTCAAAAGAAGTCTATTGGATATTTTCATCAAGTTTCAACAAGAGGAAAGTTCAAGTCTTACGTTGAACCGATCTGGAGACACAAGAAAAAGAAACCAAGAACATGACACAAAGTACCCACTCATGAAGGTGGAATTCCCAATATGGGAAGATGGAGATCCGACCAGTTGGATCTTTAGGGTAGAAAATATTTTTATTTTCATAGAACTCCAGAAGAATCCAAGGTGGAAATAACTCCAATCCAACTAGATGGAGATGCAATCCAATGGTATGATTGGTACGAAACCAACCACGAGGTCCTCTTATGTGAGCAATTTGAAAGAAGGCTTCTCGTTTGCTTTGGACCATCTGAATATGAGACTGTTAATGGGCAGCTCGCTAAAATTTGTTAGATTTCTACGGTGCTAGAATATCAAAGCATATTTGAATGATTGTCAAATCAAGCCAGAGACTGGTCCGAACGATAACTGGTGGGAATATTTATTGAAGGACTTAATCTAAATATTTGGTGTGTGGTTAAAGTTCACCAACCCCGCACTATGATAACTGTAATCTCATTTGCACGTTTGCATGAGGAAAAAATCAATAGGGAAAATCGTAGAAACATAAGTGACAACAAACAAATGATCAGCAAGCCACCCGCCCCATCTATTCCCAACCGAAACCCTAACACCTGAAGACTAACCCGAGAAGAACACAAGGAAAGAATAGCAAAGAGTTTGTGCCGACATTGTGATGAAAAGTGGAGTAAGGAGCACCAATGTAAACAATGTCAACTTCTGATGATTGAACTAATTGGGGAGGAACTGGAAGCTGACAATATGGACTCTGATCATGAAGGTATGGATTCTGATGAAGATGTTGGATCTATTATATATACAATGCATGCATTAGCCGACTACTCTGACCTGCAAACTATGAAAATTGGAGGAACTTTGGAACATCAGCATGTTACAATTTTGATTGATGTTGATAGTGCTAATAATTTTATAGACAGTAAGGTTGTTGATCGATTGGCCTACCACATTAAAGAGTGTGACAAATTCGAAGTAAAGGTCTCTATGGATGGATTTTAATTTGTGATATCAAATGTTCAAAGATAAAATTGATTATACAAGGCCAAGAGTTGCTTATGGACTTCTTTTTGCTACTCTTGGAAGACTTAGAAGTGGTGATTGGAATTGAATGGCTATCAACCCTGGGTGATGTTTCTTAGAATTTTTCTAAACTAATCATGAAGTTTTTTATTAGTGGAAAGTAGGTGATCCTAAAGGGAAGATGTGGAAGTAAGATTACAACTATTACTAGCCATTGGATGGAGAGGGTTCTTCGAAAGACTGCAATGATTACTATACCGAAAGGTTGACCTATTGCTTACAATATCAAGAAGTAGAGATTGTACGTACTTGATCAATGGGTTGTGATGCGTTGCAGATACCCTATGACTGAAGTTCTAAAAAAGAAGCCCTCTAGTTTGATACTGCTTAGTCTTGAGGACAAGACTGATTTGAAGGGGGAGGAATTGTTAGGATCCTTTTATTTTTTGAGCTTTAAATAATTTTTTATTGAGTTTGTTTAGTTCAATTGGGTCGAGGTTATTTTTATTTATTATTAAGAGTCTAAGTCCTAGTGGACTTTAGATGGAACTCTATAAATAAGGATGTATCTATTTCTTTTCGATAATGAATAAAATATTATTTCAGTCTTCTAACAAACCTTAGGAGGTCGATCCCCTCAAAGTTATCAAGGGGGTCGATCCCCTCGAAGTGATCATTCCCTTTTCTCCCATTTCTTCTATGATAAAACCCTAGGATCTTATCAAAAACTCTTTCTCGACTCATTAGGTATCCTTCTGAATCACATAATTTTGTTAAACAAGCTAGTTAACCAAGTTACTTCCTTATTTCTTAAACTTTTCCAAACTTCAATAGGGATACCACACTCTTAGTTATTTTTATCTTCTTTAATGTGCCTTTTATTTTATTAGTTCTAATTTTATAAATAAATATATGATTATTAAATATATTACTATTATTTATTATTAAATCTAAGTCCTGTGGAATATTTATTAAATAATTTATAAAAATAAATTTTCATCTTTCTTTAATCTTGTTATTATTAATGAGTTTTCTTTTATTTTCATCTTT